ACCGAGCTTAACGGCTTCTTGTTAATTTTTGAAAATATTGACTAAAGGGGTGTTACTAAAACTTTTATAACTTTTGAAATAAAAGAGGTAATTTTGTTTTGTAAAAACAATTAAGACATCAATAAAATGTTTTACCTTATGACATTTAATGCATTAGTAGAAAAACTTCTTTTAGTTTAGAATAAATATGACATATATTGAATTTAACTAAATTTTTGTAATTTGATGTTACTTTTTATCAAAAAAAAAATAAAAAAATATATTCCTAATAGTTATTATCAAATACACTTATTGTTTGACAATAATGAAAACAAAAAAACCTTACTTAATTATTTAAGGTTAACTAAAACAGCCTTAATCGAATTGTGAAAGCAAACCACATTTTTCGCAAAATTATGAAAAACGTCGTTATAAGGGGGGATTAGTTGTTAAATGAGTACTTTTTTTAATATAGAAGTTCTTGATTTAGAAAATTATTTTGGAACGCTGATAAAATCATTACATTACAAAATAAAGTTCTAATAATATGGTGTTAGGTAGTTAATAAATAAAAACTCATCAATTCTAATAAAATAATTCATGACCAAAATTGAGTTAAAGGTTTTGAATTAACCTAGCTTTTGGTAGTAGAATTATTTTATGGTACTTGTATCAATAATCTCTTCTCACAAAAAATAAAGTGTTTAAATATACACAAATAGCTGAATTAAATCTTTTGATAATTCGTTTTTATTTTCATTAAAAACTGTTTTATAATTAGTTGGTCCATTGATATGTTCTTCAAGCAGTAAACTATCTTTGAACACCCAGATGATACTAGACTCATACATAATTCATTTAAAACCAGAAGAACATTTGGTCAACTTGGCAATTGTGATAATAAAGTTTACAACTTCTTAATTTATCAAGCTAAATTTTTACACCAACTTGATAAATGAGACTTATATTCCATTCTTTAACCAGAGAGGAGGTATGTAGAGCAGAGGTCCTGCGAAGGTAGAACTAACTTTTGATGATAAAAATTGAACGGAGATCTAATATATATAAAAAATGTTACATATTACATAACAAAGGATAAAACGTTTTTTGAATTAACTACATAAACATACAAAATCATATCCAACAAACATACCAGTTGCTCTGATCACAAATTAAAATAGTTAGCTATACATTTGATGCTAGACTTTTATTCCATTCTTTAACCTGAGCAAAGGCATTGCATAGATATAATAAACTTTTGAAAATAGGAACAGAATGGGCATCTACCTAATATATAAAATCATTGTAATAAAAAATTATTATTATTTTGAACAAACATTACAGGCATTAAAACAGAATAGAATTCTCTTATTTGTAAATTAAGGATCTTATATAATTTATCTTAGATGTAAAAAGTTTAATTTTTTTTTTAACTTTTCAAACATTTAAACTAAATTTGATGACCACAAACAAGACAAAGACCTTGTCTATAAAATGAATTTTCGCCACGCTCTGAACACACAACACACTTTCTCACCTTAGAGGCTTGAAGCTTCCTATCAGCTTTGCTGTGCAATTCAAAGCGTTTTAAAACAAGATGCAGCTTTTGCTCCTGATTTCTAACTGAATGCAACTGCCTTAATTCCTTATTTACGCTATTATGCAAACACTCTCCCTCCTCTTCACTCAGCAACCCAATAGTTTTATGCAATTTTACAAATAGTGGCACATTGAAAATGAGTTCATGCATTTTTCGCGTGATACTTTCTTTTGGAAAGCAAGCATGAAACTCAATAGCAAATAAATTTATATATTGATGAAGCTCAGAAATTTCGGCATCAGAAAGAAATTTTCGCTTAAAAAGAATAGG